TCTATCTATATATATATATATATTTATATATATAAACATACATACAGTATATACAGTTATATATATATATATACACTGTATATATATATATATATATATATATACACTGTATATATATATATATATATATATACAGTTTACATTTTGCCGTGAAAAAGTTTGTTAATTTGAGTTATTAATTTGTTTTGTGGTGATATCAAGATGTGACAGATTTAAGATTTCAATCATATCTCCCACCCCTCAGCAGGGTAACTGAGGAGTTTCTTGAAGACTTGGGAGTTAATTTCCCGCAGACTAGATGTTTTTAGCATTTCCATTCAACATGATCATATCTCTTTCACCCACAAGTCACTGCGGGATTGTTACAGAGAGACATCCAGGATTTCTGGGAAGCAACAAGAAGTGTTTTAATAGCTTCCATATTTGTGTCATGACTCGCACTGAACACATTTCATCGTCTAGTTTGAGGCATCATAAAAATACCGCTTTTCTATGAGTTTTAACCAGTCATAGACTGGTTGGTGAAATCGGAGGATGTAAACGGTAATGACTGCCTCAGTTCACAAACCTCTTGTTGTTTGTCAGAATGTGCTGAAGAAGAGAGACCAAGTTCAGGCGGAGTATGAAACAAAGTTGGAGGCGGTGGTGTTCAGGGAGGACAAAAAGACAGCGGTGAGTTACATTTGTTTGCTAACTCTTGATTTGCAGGGCTTTTAGGGCTGTATTTATTAAAGGAATTGTTCACCCACAAATGTGACCCTGGAGCACAAAAGCAGTGTTAAGTCGCTGGGGGATATTTGTAGCAATAGCCAACAATACATTGTATGGGTCAAAATTATAGTTTTTTCTTTTATACCCAAAATCATTAGGATATTAAGTAAAGATCATGTTCCATAAAGATATTTTGAAATCTCAATTTCAGAAAATTGACCCTAATGACTGGGTTTTTGCTCCAGGGTCACATGAAAATTTGCTGAATATTTACTCTTATCCTCAGGCCATCCAAGATTAGGATGAGTTTGTTTCTTCATCAGGTTTGGAGAAATGTAGCATTGCATCAGTGTCTCAGCAATGGATGCTCTGCAGTGAATGGGTGCCGTCAGAATGAGAGTCCAAACAGCTGATAAAAACATCACAATAATCCACAAGTAATCCACACCTCTCCAGTCCATCAGTTAACATCTTGAGAGGAGAAAAGCTGTGTGTTTGTAAGAAACAAATCCATCCTTAAAGCACTTTAACTTTAAACTTATGATCAAAATTTCCCATGATTCATAACGCTTCCTTCAGTGAAAAATTCCATCTCCTGTCGTCTCTCACATCAAAATCCATCCACATATTTGTTTAGAGCGGTTTTGGTCTGTTTTTCTTGTAAACTGTGCTGGAGCTGTGCAGATTTCTCTCCTGATTCAGACCAGACCGCTTTTTTACTAGAGGAAGCAATATTATGAATAACGGACTTGTATTTCAGCCAAAAGCAAAGGTTTGAAGTTCACAACGTCTTAATGTTGGACTTGCTTGTTAAAACATGCAGCTTTTCTCCTCTCAAGACGTTAAACTGATGGACTGGATTGGATTACTTGTGGATTATTGTGATGTTTTTATCAGCTGTTTGGACTCTCATTCTGACGGCACCCATTCACTGCAGAGCATCCATTGCTGAAAAACTGATGCAATGCTACATTTCTCCAAACCTGATGAAGAAACAAACTCCTCTACATATTGGCCAATACTGAAGTGTGTTACATGTGACGGAGGAAACTGGTTTAGTGGTCGGTCTGGATGTCCTGCAGGTGCCCTCTGACGTGGAGAAGTGTCAGGACCGTGTGGAGTGTTTCAACGCTGACCTGAAGGCCGACTGGGACCGCTGGGAGAACAACAAGCGACAGGACTTCAGACAGCTGCTGACGGGCATGGCCGACAAAAACATCCAGCACTACGAGAAGGTCAGAAACTTTCCTCCACCTGGAATAGCGGTTTCTAATGTGGTTGGAGGTGGAAATTTGCATCTGTCATTTCAGAGGCGGAGCTAGTTATTATATTTTGATGCAAGAACAGAATTTGACTGGCTACCAAGACAAATGTTTTACTGCAGAATAATGTGAATTGATGAATTGTGTTCAGCAAAACCAGAAATGTGTTTTAGGAAAGTAAATGGGTTCAGTTGGACTTAATGTTGATGTAAGCATATGAATTGTATATAGAGTACTTGGAGTGACTCTTGCTCTGAAAATGCTCAGCTGTTGTTTGAAGAAAGTCTTGCACATTTCATTCCTGCTGTTTTGTCAAACACTGACACAGTGTGGCTACATTCCAGACACCACTGCCAAACGGGAAGTGCCCAGGAAACCATTAATACTGCAAGAGTCAGAGCAGCTCACTTATTTCATTATTTACTTCATTGTATATTCACATATTGATATCCAGAAGTTTTCCATAATTGAAGTCAGTATGTTGCTTAAACTGTTAAGACACCCCCAAAATCAAAAGGAAATAAATAACATAAAACCTATTTAAAGTCATTTTATTATTATTATTATTGTTATTTTTTCATTGCAGCAATCAGTGTTATTATTAACTAAAACTATTAAAAAATTGTCTTTGTTAATTACAATAAAGCAGAATTAAAATATATAAATAATAGATGAAAAAACGTACACATCTTAAGAGATTTTGTCTTCGCAATTAATTAAAATAAAAATAAGTCTACTGTTTATAATTACTAAAATTACTAAGTTCAAACTGAAATAAAAGCTAAGCAGATGAAATAGAATTTTAAAGCTAAATAGAACTTGCATAAAAATTAAAATTCTCAAAAAAAAAACCTAATTAAAATTAAATCTGAAAATTATAAAAATAAAAGCTAATTCAAAATAATATAATGGTATATAAATAATGCAAAAAGAACATTGGCAACTTTATACATATGTATAATACAAAGCTATTTATATATTAGGGATGCACCGATGTATCGCCGCCGATATTTATCGGCCGATTTTTGATTATTTTAAAGCCATCTGCATATCGGAAATAGCATGAAAAGGGCTGATACCGATGGTTTATTAATTAGCTGCATGGAGACAATGAGTTGCATGTCTGTTGCATAATCCAACATTTTTCTCTGCGCAAAATAATTAAATACTTGCCAAAACAAAATAAAATCTGTACAAAATATAGTTTGTCAGATGGAGGAGTATGGCCATATGCAAACATATTTTGCTTTATTTACCGGTGTTTTAGCCTACATTTTTTCTGAATGATAATAATTAAATAATAATAATAATATATTAATACCGGTAATAAAATGCGATGTACAGCCTAGTTATTTAGGCAGTTTTTTCCTCTCAAAACACTTATAGGTGTAGCGTTTTTTTTTAACCATGCTGCAAACATTTTTAAATATCTTGAAAAAAATAGGCCTACTTTAATGTCTTTAAAGCGTTGACAGTATTTTCTTTTGTTTAATTCATTTGGTCAAAATCTGGAAAAGATGATGCTGTATTGGCTATGACTAAGCGCAAGATAGGCTACCAGATCAAGACCCTCGTGTTTTTTTTTCTTTTTGAGTAAAGAAAACGCTGTACCGGTATATTTAGCCTGTATATGCTCCCACTAAGTCAAATAATGAGAAAGAACCAAATCGCCTATCACAGCTATGCAGATGATACCCAGATTTACCTAGCCTTATCTCCAAATGACTACAGCCCCATTGATAACGTTATTAACCAGTATTTTTTCTACTCAAACCGGTTTCTGAACGGTAATAATACAGAGGAAGGCAAGAACAGAAACATTCAAATACCAATTCTGCTCGGAGTGAACCGATCGATTTTATTTTTTATCTTTTTCTCTGCTTTATGCAATTGACCAATATTGGTATCGGTAAATAGTTGTTTGTTAAAATCGGTATCGGCCAAAATCCTATCAGTGCATCCCTAATACACACACACACACTCACACACACACACACTCTCTCTCTCAGGGTCACACACACACACACACATATATACATATATATATGTATATATATATAGTTCTGCCTGTTGTGAGGTAGTTCTCTTTAAGTTAAAGCAGACATCATGAACACATAGTCGGGACTGCACTGAAGTTTGTCATCATTTCCAGATCACAGTTTGCATCATTGTTTTTTGTCATTTTAAGTGAATTCTCCATCAGTGTTGCAAATACGTAGTAATGTAGCAAAGACCAGTCAGAAAGTTTGTTTAATCGGATCTGGCCCTCCAGTGTACGAGCAGAGCTGCAGCACACAGATTGGAAACACGTCGTCTGCTGGTAAATACTGTTACTGCAGCCGCGTCTTCTCATTGCCTTTTCTTTTAGATAACAGAGCCACCAGAATACACATTCTGTCTGGAAGCATAGGCTATTTTCTGTCTAGTTTTGCCCTTTTTTATATGTGGTCTAGTGAAGATACATGGCCTGAAGTTTAACTCATCAAATCCTTATACTTTTGTCTCCATTTATTTTTAAGATGGTTTGATTTTAACTGAATATATTTTATTTTGTTACAAAGGCAGCTATATGACTTTTGTTGCTTTAATGCATGTTGTACATTGATATAAAATACAGTTTATACTGGACATTATTAAATTCAGTTTTGTACAAGAACAGGTTAAATGTAAAGTGAATATATGACTTTCAAATGGCAGAATCTGCAATAATTGTGGTCCATTAATGTGTTATTTTACGTACTTAATGGTTAAACAAATAATTTTTTTGACAAATATTAAGTGACTGTAGCATGAGTGTGTCATGTTTACTTACAGATCAGTCCAGCAGGTGTGTATGAAGTATAAATTAACAAATTAAACTAACGCATGTGAGGAGAATCCGTTGCAGTTTATTAAAAGTTTATTCTCTTTGTATGTTTTATATACGTCATGTTTTTTAAAGCTCATTTGACTTCCTTTTAGCATAAATTGTTTTATCATTAAATTGATAGGATATAAAGTCTGGGCTTTAAAAGGAAGAATAACTTGCACAGTGTTGTCTGATGCTGTTACTCTTTACCTCAACTGATTTTAATACTGGACCAATGCCGTAAAAATAATTATAATATACTATGTATTTTTTCTTTAATGTATTTTTGTGCCTTTGCACAAGCAATACTAAAAACTATATAGACTTACAGCCTGCCATAAAGAATGATTAGTTGTATAATAATTGTATTTCCTGTACACTTTGTGTAAAAAAGTATGTTTAAGATGAACACACCATAAACAGATGTACAAATAACTTGATTTATTGCTAAATCTGTACAATAAAAACCTGATAAAAGATGTCATCCATTTCAAATAGACAGTGCATACAGAAATATTGCTAACATTTTATGAGAAGATTCCATTAGTTAACATTCATTTATTAACTAAAATGAACAATACATATATTAAAGTTTTTGTGTATGCTGGTTAATCAAAATAAAATTGATCATTGTCAGTTCAGGTCCATTAAATAATATTAACAGATACAACTTTTGATTTTAATAATGTACTAGTGAATGTTGAAATTAAGATTATTATACTTTCAAAGTATCTATTTTGAGTTCATATTTAGTATTGTAGTCAATTAATGTTAACAAATGGAAATGTATTGTAAATTGCTATCAAAATATATAAAAATTTAAGATTGTCAGCATTTTATACAAAGACGTGTAAAAACCTTGGCAAATATGACGCTACACAGACTGCATTACCAATAATGCGAAGTGTAACAACAGTGCATCAGGAACATTATCTATTCCAGTAGATAACATTATCTAATAACATTACCCATTCAAGCCGACTATCCATTCAAGTTCTAGTCAACTGAACGATAGAATATCTTTTATTGTATGTAACTCCAGTGTAAACCTTCAAATCATTTATTACGCAAACATACTTCAATAACTTGTCCATTTGTGACACTTTGTGTCTCCTTTGGTGTGGCTGATGCTGTCAGTTGCCTTGAATTCTCTCATATCCATCTTGTCTTGCAGAGCGGCATCCTACAATGCTAGACATAAAAAAACAAAACAATAAAAATGTTTTAAGAATAACTTTTTCTCTGAATTTAATGGTGAATGGAATATTATCAAAGGTGTCAGAAATCTCAGCTTACCTAATGGGTATCATAGAAAGAACGGTGAAGATGCTGGACAGTATGAAGACAAACCCTGGGAAGGTGTCAAGTGTGGCCTGATAGATCTCTGTGTAGATGGGTGTGGTGACCAAGCTTGCAAGCTTGAAGGACAACTGGAGCATGACAAAGGTAATGCCTATGGGAGGAAAAGTAGCTAATCATGAAAATGACAAAAGATGTGCTTCATCAAACTACAGAGTTCTTAACCAAAGCCTGCTTGTTTGGCTTGGCATCCCATCACTACCTCGATTATACCTTTATTTTTCCAGCTCTACTACATACGAGTTACACAGTGTCAGTGCCAACAGGGTCAGAGGTGAGGGTTTGGTTCATGTGGCCTGTGGGTATGGTATCAGAAGAGTAGCGGGCCAAGCACTGAACCATGACTCACTCCAGTAGTTGGCTGATGGGATACACACTTACACTGAAATTTTACTTACATATACAGGTGCATCTCAATAAATTAGAATGTAATGGAAAAGTTAAGTTATTGGTCTTATGACGTATTCTAAGTGAATTGGTGGGTTTTTGTTAAATGTGAGCCAAAATCATCACAATTAAAAGAACCAAATACTTAAACTACTTCAGTTTCACAATTTGAGTTGAATTACTGAAATAAATGAACTTTTCCACGACGTTCTAATTTATTGAGATGCACCTGTGTGTGTGTATATATATATATATATATAAAACATTTTTATAGGCTTAGTACTTTAATTTATCTCAATGCTACATTACAGTTAGTGTTTAGTAACTGAGTGTGACTGTACTAAATTACTGCTTTTACACCTGACAGCCTATCTTTTCTTCAAATAACTTATTCTTTACAAATGCTTGAATCTGCTTTGACTTCCATAGCTTGTCACTAGCTGTGTGCTGTTGATAAGGTAAAGTATACAGCCTCGAATACAAGCACAGACTAGCACATACTTGAATAAAAGCACAGACATGCACTGTAGTAAGGGCTAAAAATTCACCTGTCCATTCTCTCTGAACCGGGTATTATTTGAACTACACTTCGCTGGCCTGAGTCCTACCACACGGGCAGATTCAACAAGGTATCTTCAAGAGAGGGAGTGTTTAAGTAGCATCTGCTATCCACTGGAGTGCCTCAGGGTTCGGTACTTGGCCCCTTGCCTTTCTGATAAACTATATTCTAACTCCTTGTCACCTCAGCCAGCCCATCAATTGACCATAAACCATTAACTGTACAACTGGGATTGACAACAGTAGCTACAAAGATTACTGAAAAGAGGTGCTCTACCAACGAAAGAGGAGGTGCAACCAAGGTGCAGCACTCACTCTTGAAGAGATCAAAACTTTTACAAACTAGTTTTGATCTCTTCAAGAGTGAGTGCTGCACCTTGGTTGCACCTCCTCTTTCGTTGGTAGAGCACCTCTTTTCAGTAATCTTTGTAGCTACTGAGTGCTGCACCTTTTCACATTGACAACAGTAGCACCAGTTAGGTCAGCACCAGCTAGACCACCAGAAAACAACCAGAAGTGGGTTTCCAAAAAGCATCGTTAAGTGCTAAAAAGGGTTGCAAGTTCTGTTGAACTTTGTTGGTAATGATGGAACTTGTGACCATAGTTACTTTTGGGAAATCAAGTCAAGTCAAGTCTGCTTTATTGTCAATTCTTCCACATGTACAGCACATACACACAGATAATTGAAATTGCGTTACTCTCAGACCCTTGGTGCATACAGATAACATAAATACAGATAGGTACAGATTAAATACAAAATACAAAATACAACTATACAAATATACAAATAAGGTAAAATGTAAAAAATATATATATATAAAGCACAAGGCATATGGCAGATAGAGTGCAAACCAGTAAAAGTAAACAACAGTGCAGATATAATGATTGTAGTGCAAAAAACAATGATTTGTAGTGCAAAAGAGCTTATTTCGACTGATTAAAGTGACAGTGTGTGTGCATTTGGGAAGGGGGGAGTGGGAGAGTCCATCAGAGGGTCAGAGTTCAGAGGTGCGTGGGGCAAGGTCGGGAGGGAGTTCAGCTTCCTGACAGCCTGATGGATGAAGCTGTCCTTCAGTCTGCTGGTCCTGGCCTGGAGACTCCGCAGTCTCCTCCCTGATGGCAGCAGACTGAAGAAGCTGTGTGTCGGGGGGGTGGGATCACCTGCAATGCAGAGGGCTTTGCGGGTGAGACGGGTGTTGTAAATGACCTGAAGGGAGGGGAGAGAGGCACCAACGATCTTCTCAGCTGCTCTCACTATGCGTTGAAGTGTCTTGCGGCAGGACGCGTTGCAGGCGCCATACCACACAGTGATGCAGCTGGTCAGGATGCTCTCGATGGTGCCTCTGTAGAAGGTGCACATGATGGGGGCCGGGGCTCTGGCTCTTCTCAGTTTGCGGAGGAAGTAGAGACGCTGCTGTGCTTTCTTGGCCAGTGCTGCGGTGTTGTCAGTCCAGGAGAGATCCTCTGTGATGTGCACACCCAGGAACTTGGTGCTGCTCACCCTCTCCACCGCAGGTCAGAAGCATAATAATTTTACACTTGCCAATAAAGCTACTTCTTGTTACCACACAAAAGCATAAATATTCACGCGGCCTCCACCTGTGAATACACTGACACGTAGTTTCATTTCTCTCTTTTGTTTGTTTTGTTTTGTTCACACTTCAACTTCTGAATATATGCACCAGATACTGATATGCTTCACAGCACAGCTGCATGAGCTAACATGCAAATTGTGTAAAAGTCAACTGAAGTCTAAGTTTACTTTTGAGGAAATTCTAGTGTTCCACAAAATGTCTTTGGCAGCACCATATGCAGACACACAACTCGTTTAGGGCACTGAGAGAATAAAGAACTGGCACCTACCATATGAGGTTCCCCTGACCTGTTTGGACAGCAGCGAGCGAATGGTAGGCATTGGAATCAGAGCAAACAGAGTGACAGAACGAGCTAAAGGAGACAAGAATAAAACCTCAGATAAATCAGGAAAGTGATTTATAGAACATTTTTCACACCTTATGGTGACTCCATGTAAATTCTTCCTTTGAGGAACTATGCACTGGTTTACATTCCAGTTTAAATGCTCATTTAAGTTACTATAGTTAGAAACAGTGTTGGGGATAACGCATTACAAGTAACGCAAGTTACATAATCAGATTAGTTTTTAACTAGTGAAGTAAAGTAACATTACTTTTTAATTTACAAATAAAATATCTGAGTTACTTTTTCATGTAAGTAACGCCGGTTACTTTGTTGTCCCATTTTTATTACTGAAGAGTGTTAAACCTTCTCTCTTCTCCTGCGTCCTATTCTTCATTGTAATCCAGAATGGTAATTGTAATTTTTTAGCTGCGCTCTCCACTGTACTAATGTGAATTTACTTTCCTTCAACCTGAGGCCTATTAATTTCACTTTTTGTGTGAAAGGGCTTTTACATTTGCCAAAATAGCATTTTTTTAAATATAAAAAACAAACAAAAAACAAACGAGATCAGCTCGGATTTTAAATGAAATGCAAAAGTAACGTAACACTTTACTTTCCATAAAAACTAAATAACGTAATACAATATTGTAAAGAAATACTTTTAAAAGTAACTTTCCCCAAACACTGGTTAGAAAAGTCACTTAGGTACAGTAGGCTACATTATTTCTCATTATGTTTTATAATGCTAATATATATACTTTTATATATGCACCATAACACCTGCATCTTTACCAGATATTTCAAAAGGGTCTGGCTGCAGCCTTGCACTTGCACTCTCAGACTTGCACTCTCAGACACTTGCGCTTCCGCTAGCGATGTCACTTGCAGTCTTTATTTTTTATTTTGTTCTATTTTTTATTACTTTTTGTTTGAATCTCTCAACATTTTACAACAGTAGCCAGGTGGTGAAGACAAGAAAAAAGAAACTAAATTACAATGTCACTTGCAATCGCCACTTGCACTCCCCGATACCTGCGACGTCACTTGCAATCGACACAAATCGTGCATGTTGCCAATGGAGACAAGAAGCTGTGGTGGTGATTAAACAATTAAAACTAAATTAGTACTATAACGTACAGGGTCCTGCAAGAAAAAGACAAGACCCGCAAATCCGTGGCCACAGAACAGCAGAATATGAACGCATGCGCAAAGTCTCTTGTTAAGCGTTTTCCTCCTGTAGAAAAACATAAACACTTAACATGGCGTAATGTATTAAGATGCTATTAAAATATCAAATTAAATATACAGTTTATTAATATAATGAATATGTATATAGTATTTTCCTCCCATACCGCAAAACGTGGCATGATGTGCCATAATGGACTAAAAAAGCCAAACTCGGTATGCTCCTCTACATTATTAATATACATAACTAATATGTACAGGCAAGCAGGTGAGCCCAGAATAAACGCAACATG